AATTAGACTGCATATCACGTGATAAAAAATGACGAGATGAGTTATGTCCTCTTAAAGTATGTATTACCCAAGCATGACTGATGAGCATGACTAAAACGGGTACACAATAAGCAAATATAACCCAAGAATATACAAAATACTCAACAAATGCATTTGTATCCATCCATGGAACAGAAAAATCCATTACACAACGATTATCAGTATATCGACGAAGAAGTGGTGTAGGGATATATAAAATCAAAACCATAGAAACCATATATACAAAGTATATTATAAAGAATTTTTTCGTATATGATTTAAGTGATCTAAGAAATATGACAGAACTCACTCGGTCCAATGATATACAAACCAGATTTTGCACACTTAAGATACATGGTAACCAGAATAGTGAATTCTGAAACCAAAAATGGCATAAAATTATATCAATAATATATAATCCTGTAGGTTTATCATAACCTTTAGTAAATTGAATGATATAATAGATTGTTGTTACGAAACATGCACTTAAATCAAATATTGGTTGTGCTCTAAATACAAATGTAGTAAATTTTGAACCGAATTGTGAAGTGAACACAACAGTGATAGCCACAATATTGAATATTGTGCCAAATATTCCTTCAATTGTAATAATAATTTGAGCAGGTAAGGTAAAATCAATGGTATTATTCATTATTTAATTTTTCTGCTGTTATAATTAATATGGAGTTATAAGGTGTTAGAGTTTGTTGAAATAGATTGTTACGTTAAACAAGTTGAAAACTGGATATTTGATAAACTACTTCCTAACTTTATATATATCTATATCATAGTTTTTATAACCAATCAGATCTACACTTAGAATAGTCTAATGTATTATAAAATATTGTCTAGCCAGTATATCATTCAAAATGTTGATTATTTATACACTATATATGGAAATATGTTTATTGTTTTCATTGTTCTATGGTTCATTTTGATCATATGAACAAATGTTTATCAAAATAAATATTCAAATTCCTATTTCAGTGATTAATAGTCAATAGTGAACTGATAGGGATCATTAATTTCTTATTTTTGATTTTATAAAACAATGAAAATATTTACAAAAATTTTAAAAAATGTTTTCCATTTACTATTATTCTTTTTTTAAATATCAGACAAATTATTAGTAAACAGGGATAAAATAATTTAGTGCTGATCGATGTCCTCTCTTTTTCTCGTTCTCTCTCTCTCTCTTTCTTCTGAATCAAGAATGACTATTTTACAATGAAAATTGAAATTGCAAAATTGCAATAGATTTTAAGATAAAAAGAAATGAAAGACTTGGAGGCAAACACGGAAAAAATGTAATTAGGCATCTAGACGTATTTAGAATTAAGTAGGAGTTTCTGTTGTTTATCATTACAGAATGTATTTTCTATTTGATTTTCTTGTTTGTTTGTTTGTTGATTTTATTTTTTAATGATTTTGCTTCATCTATATACATTATAACTTCATTTGGCAATTACTCTCAAATTAGCACGAATGTATACACATAATTTATATTAGGTGAACTGAATTATTTTTTTCTTCCGAAATTTGAAATCTAGACATATTCATTTCAACTGTATGATAAATCATTAGTTAAGTACATAAATTAGGTTGAATTTCTTTATATAAGAATCATGATTTAACAGTGTATAATACAAGTTATTTCTGCCATAAATTCTAACTTTATTTATTTGTATCAGAAGTGGTTTTGTGGATATTATAGTAATTTTAATAGTTGAGATAATGATGTGGATGTGTCGCTCAATTTCTTGGATTAGTTGAAGTTAAACATTAACATCATTGGATGCTGGCTCAGTGGTCTAGTGGTTAAGTGTTTGCGTGAGACTGATAGGTCCTGGGTTCGAATCCCGCGGGGGGCCGGACCGTGGGTGAGCACGTCTGAAGAGTCCTACACTAGAACGAAACGGCCGTCCAGTGCTTCGAGGTTTTCCTTGGTAGTCTAGCTTCGATTAATTCATGATTTCAACTATTCAAACATTAATTGTTTAAGAAACTGAGATTTTCATGAGCAATTAATATGTAGGAGAAGATTAGTTTTACAACTGAATTCAGATTGACATGACTTTACTCAAGATGTTACCGATAGCTGACATAGATCGACTTGACAACGAAAAAAGATAAAAACTATTTTTCAATTCACTGATTTTTAGATAATTTGCTCACATTCAGTAAACATCAAAAGATGAATGAATTACATTGATTAATCATTAACCCTGTGTATGAACATAATTTATAAAATCATAGAGTCAAACTGCTGTAGAAATAAATACCACGAATTTTCAGAGTCATGTGCTTACTTGTATTTAACATTTGGGAATGCGATGTTTATCTTGCTTGATTATAACTGTCGATAGACTGGAGAAATCTAGATGTGCAATGTGGCCTTGAAAAAGTCAAATATCTAGACTGCCATCTCAGGGTTATGTGATTTGTGAAGCATTATAGACAAAACATTCTATAGGAGGATGAATAAAATATACCTAATCAAGGTCTCAACCTACATTCCCTTAATTGCATCATAAGGACATATATTAATATCAGAGATTAGTATACATATTCATTCATTTTGTCAATTTAAGCTTCCTAGTCACTTATCAATTTTCTCATTTGCATGACTGCTCGGAAAAATGTATACCAAAAGAGGGTATTTCAACCGCATTTCGTGGATTATAACAACCACATCTATGAAATGATTTTAGGTCTTAAATATGTTCAACATGATGTCTAAATATTCATTCATATTATTTTGCATATCACTTATCTGCGAATGTAACTTGCCTATAAGTCTAGAATGAGAAACGGATACAGTGAGAATTATCAACGAAACTTATTTTCATCTGGTTCGCAATTTTATTGGAAATATAAACAGATTCTTAGATTCAGAATATTCTTTCACTGCATTCTCATTCTCTGTAGTACAGTTGTTACTGGTGCCTTGTGTTTATTATCGCAATAATATCTTACCCTGGATTCAAAGTAATTGTTTTGTCGGGAAAAAAACAAAGTCCTTGAGTCTACGGGGTCCCGTGTGATAGGATAACAATCATATGACCTCTCTCTAGACCAATTATTGATTAGATCATCTATATTGCTAGTAAGATCGGTAACTATTCTTGGATTGACACACTTACCAGTGAACAACAAATAAGACCTTAAGGTTAATTGTTCCTCGAGCACCTTCTAGCCGAGTGGCCAACCAGAAGATGAGAATAGAAAATAGGTCAGTTCTCTAAAGTACTCAATTTGATCATGTTACACAACTCATACAATAATATAATTGAAGTGTTTAACCACACAGAAACGCAATCAAGGAATTATATAACTTATACGGATGATACAAAACCAGGGTAGTAGGGAAAAATTAACTAATGATAAATCTAAAATAAAAAGTTATCTGATAGCGATTTATGAATCAAACGAAAGCTTGATAATAAGAGAATGTATAAATACTACAGTCTAAGCCTCTATTATTCATCGTGTAATTACTTAGTGAATATGAACTGTGAAGCCTACTTCATAAAATTTATTCTATACAAAATGTATATAATTGGATTTTTGGCTTCCTGATAGACTCAGTGGAGAATCGTTAGTCAAGATTGTAGGAGTCCGTAATATGATAACCATAATAGCACATGAGCATTAGTCAACTCACTTGAATATTGACTTAACCGAGTTTGTAAACGTGAATGTTTTAGGTTTATTTAGAGAAGTATGGTATTTAGTGTGATATTTTCAACAAAAAAACTATACTTATGAATTGTAGTAGTAATGATTAGGTGATTTTTTACAGCCTAACAATTTTTACTTATCTGAGAATACAAGATTTTTATCAACAGTTATTTCCAGTAAATGAAATCATTTCATATACTTAGCCAATCCGTTAAGCATAACATAAAACCTGATACAAGTCTATATCATGTTGATTTTCTATAATCCACATCAACATATTCAAAATAAATTAACGAGATAAAACCTGTGAAAAAATGCAAATTATACTATGATCTCTAACGTTTCATCAAACTTAGGAAAGAATTGTGATCAAGAATGAAGTATGGGTTGTAAAGCTGATTTCAAGATTTACATCGAATCGTTACATAATAGCACGATATGTCTTGGTAACTCACTGGCTAATAAAAGTTTCAAGACGAATGAGGCGGTCTGTGAGCTTAACCACTCTATTCTCTTCAGCCAACTTATGAAGTTAGTGAAAAGCATTCCTGAGGTAACATTTAGAATAGCATCAGTGTAACTCCTTTTGTGTGTAAGGTATTTTCTTCTTCATGACCAGAGTACAACTAAATCTCTCTCGAAGTCAATCATTTTTGTTCAGCTTGGATCCAATGTTTTTCTGCTGATTCCGAGCACCATCATGTTGTATCTCCTAATTTCCTTAGCTATTTGTCTCGTCCTCCCTGTCTTCCACATTATCCGAACGTTCCATGTAGCTATATTAATTGTTGCTCTGTTTGTTAGAATGGACATCGGTCTTGTGGTTTTCGAAGAATCTCGACTTACACTATGAGGCGTCATAATTCTTCTAAAGGAAGATCCTTCAAATCGGAGGGAAGAGATTGAATTTTTTGAATTGTTTATTTTGGTTAGAGTTTTTCTAGCAAGTTTGTTTTCTACCAGATGAGTTTGCTGACCTCATGTGCAAACTCCCTTCTTTATCCGGTCTTGGGACCATCAGAAACCCTAGATGAGCTACAAGTGGAGTTTGTCTGCTTATTGCACCATCCAAATTCACCACTGATTTGTATTGTATAGTTGATATCCATCCAATATTTCATCTACCATTCAAATTATTGTAAATGAAGTTCTGATTGGTCATTAAAGCTATAAAATATACAAGATTGAGAATAATTTGTCCAATATCAAGTTATAAACTTATTCAAATGTAAATCAATCTTTCATTTTATATTTTTATTTTTATTATAATAAACAGTAAACAACATAAACAGACTTAAACAATGAATGGGACTATTTACATTAGCTTACCTATTCGGATTATTATTACGACTGAAGGAATATTTGGCATAATATTAAATATTGTGGCCATCACTGTTGTGTTCGCTTCACAATTCGGTTCAAAATTTACTACATTTGTATTTAGAGCACAACCAATATTTGATTTAAGTGCATGTTTCTCAACAGCAATGTACTATATGATTCAATCTATATCATCTGTCAATAACGGAACTGGAATATATATTATAGATGTCATAATTTGTCATTTTTGGTTTAGAAATGGATTATTCTGGTTGCCATGTATCTTAAGTGTGCAAAATCTGGTTTGTATATCATTGGATCGAGCGAGTTCTGTCCTATTTCTTGGATCATTCAAAACGTATACGAATAGATTTTTCGTACTATACTTTCTTTACATGCTCACTATGCTTTTGATTTTGTACGTACCAACACCACTTCTTCGTCGTTATACCGATGGCCAATGTGTTATGGATTTTTCATTCCCTTGGATTCAAACGAAAGTATTTCTTGGTTATATTGTGTATTCATGGGTTGTGTTTTCTTATTTTGTTCCAGTTTTGGTCACATTAGTTAGCCATGCATGGATCATACATGTATTAAAAATATCTAGCCCTTCTCATCAAAATTACACAACACAAAATTTTGAAGCTACTTTACAGATACAGAAGAAAATTACTCAGTTAGTTATCACAACAACAATTATGTCATGTCAACTAGCTATATTACACTCATTTGAATGCATAAGTCAAATATTAATCGCATGTGAAGTTGTGGTTTACACTTATGGTACTCCGATTGAACAAATGGGTACAATACTTATATTATTGGGATGTACGTTAAATCCATGTATTCTCATTTTCAGTACAGCTCCTTTGAGAAAACGTTTATTAACATCAGTTAAAAGTGTCACAGAGAGAATTAGCAGCATCGCGACAATAGGAAAGCACACAGAATCATTAATGCAATGATATATATATGTATATATATATATATATAATAAAGATTGACGATCATATGTTAGCCATAATCTCTTTGACCTGTTTGCATACAAATCAAGGAATAACACCTACCCATTGAGTGTATCGTGTTCTACAGAAAAGATTTGCGTATTTCATAATGATTAGTAACTCTCTGTAATACTTCAAAAGAATACCCAAGGCAATTCAAGATAAAAACAGAATCTGTAACTTCTTTCGAACACTCAATACATAAATAATGCAATCAGTCTTTAGGTTACCATATTTGTATAGTTTAGTACACGGTAAAGCCTCCCATTCATATATATGGATTATAAAAGAAACTGCTTGTATTACCTTACACAAACTATGCAAGTATGCAACAATAGTAAATATTAAAGGGAAGTACGGAACAACTCGTATGGTTATTGTCATCGAAACAGCTGTAGTATAGTGTTTGCCCTAGTGTTATTTTCTATTTCGCTTCCTTCTGTTGTTTCTTTGTTCTATGATTGTAAATATCTTGATGATCTATATTCTATCATAGACATTTGTTAACTTAAATTCTGAATAATGGTTTGATTTCGATCAAGACAAAATTAACAATTGTATTCTATTAGATTTTAAATATTTTAGCAAATATCTACTCAACCCATCCTAAATTGTATTATAATTACCAATAAAGATGAAAGAATATTAATATTCTTAAATTGTGTTATGGAATCACAACAAGAAAGTTCAATCCAAACAATATATGATAATTACAACCGCAGACGTTGAAAGTTCAATATCAGCACAGGGCATGTTTCGTTGTTTAAAAAATTACAAAGGGAACATTCAAATTGTCCAATAATTAAACTAGTTACTAATAACGTATCCCAGTTACAATGAGATAATAATTCTTGATATGTGTATTTTATATCCATTCGGGTATCATATATCACCTATATTTTCTTAGATTCCATAGTTTCATATTGATATATAGAAACAGGTTACTAACAAATGACTTACGGAAGCTTAGATCCGTGAAAAATTATCAGTAATATTCTTATCATCAACAAATAAATCTATGAGTAACTAGGACGAATCTCTTGGATATAATTCATAATAAATGATCACACTAAAAATTTCAAAATCATTATCTGAAAGCCTATTAATAGTGTCACTAAAAGAAATGAACATTAGAATAAAGTAAATATGTACCTATGGGATTATTAATATAGCCTGATAAATTATGGAATATGTCTGCTCGATGGCATTCAAGAAAATAGAAAGATGGTAAGAAAGGTTAGTAGAAACAGATTCAAATACACTTCCATAATGTATTCTTCATTCAGAATGATAATGCAGTCAAAGAATATGAAAGTAAACGGAACTTGATTACTTGATACTTACAGGATTCTTTTATTAAATCCATAATGTTTGGTTCTTCTGCTTCATCATTTTTATAATGATTTGGATTTTTTCAATTTTCTAAAAGAAATTTTATTATGCTAATTACTTTATTTGTTTATTCTTTTATGATTACATATATTTGTTTACGTATAGTCATTCTGAATTTATTTCGTTTGTAATCAATAGTTTTATGTACTCTGAAGAATAGGACATTATTTCGTGCCTCAAAATATCACTATCATCTTCATAGGCAATTTACAAAGTATAAGAGGGTCTCTGAATAATATTTTCAAATTTGGGGTCATTTATACCAACATTTAAATGATTACAAAGTTAATTATAAAACTTTCCAGTAAAATTGTATTTAAAAGATTGGTTCTGGTGTGTTGTAGAAAAAAAAACATTTGATTTTCTGATTTGGAGAATGAGTTTATCTGTTAAATTGTGCTATTTTACATGTCTCAGATGAGGTAACATGGAATAGAACTTTTAGCAAAAGTTTAAATTCATCGTTTGGAAAAGAAAGACATGTTGGAGAAAACTCAAGTTTATTCAAGGAACCATGTGCCTCTCTCACCAATTAAAACGATGAGATGAGCGGAAATGTTATCGTCCTGTCGACTGCTACCAACCGCCTAACGTTTCATCATCGTACGAACTATATCAACACGTTCAGACTAATAGTCACACTACAATTTGGTCGATATAATTCGATCAGCATTAAAAGGTATTTAACAAACATGATGTTAATTGCCACTCAGTGATTGGTTGTAAATGTTGTTGTCTCTTAGATTTCTGGATGAGTACAAACTATCAATTCACCTTAAATAATTTTAAACCTCTCAAGGAAACCCAGTGACAGACAATTTTTCAAGGTTGTTTGAGTTTATGATTATAATGATATCAAATATGTTAAGTGAATTGTAATGTAAATTAGTAGTTGAGTAATTAGATGTAAAAGAAACTCAATAGATAGAATGACGATGGTTGAATTTCAAATCAGTGAAATTCTATACTGTTATGGTTTATTACAATTGTAAATACTAAAGAAACACTAGGATTATCGAAAAACTGAAATAATCATTCACTTTATTTTACCCATGACAATTATTTTTAAAATATTTTATACGAATATTTGTCAATACTAGAACGAATAGTTTGATAAAATTTGGGCGCCGAATATAGATAAGACATTATTTTTGAAAATTATATTGGAAATAATCTCAACGATTGAAATTTAAATAACTCCAACATTTTGTCCAGCAAACTTGTTTAAATTTCTTCAGGGTAATAATCAAGATCAGCATTAGTGAAAGTTAAGGATAGGTTTTCAAAGAAAGAACAACAGAATATTGTCTATCAGATCAACTGTCATGATTGTAATGCAACGTATGTGGAAGAAACTTCAAGACAATTGAATGTGAGAATGAAGGAACACAAACAATATCTGAAAAATGTTCCCAAATCCTCGGTTGATTCAAAGAAACTTTAGAATAGGTCGGCGACAGCGTTACATGCATTAGAAATAGGATACATGATCAATTTTGAAGGGTTTAGCACACATAAGGAAAAATTGACGGTAGAAGCTCTGTTTATTTGGGCTAATAAGAACAGCCTGAACAAAAACGATGGTATTCAACTTGCTATCATTTGGTAAATGTTCATTAACAAGTAATTTGATCCTATTTCTATCCAACCTGTTTATTTCACATGCATTACTATTCTAACAGAAATTAATCTGGGATATTCTAGCTCTACAAATATCCATTTAATTGTTCTCATTTTACATGCACATAGAAGATTCAGAAACAATTTCAACCTTCAAATTGAACGTTTATTTTTAATCCATACAAAAACAAATTCATACTTAATATCATCCATTAATAACTCAAACCTACACATACACATACACCCACACGATTCATTCATTTATCTTCACTTATTGAATTTTTCACATGATTCGCATGTAACTGACTTATGTTATCCTACCCACTAAAGTCAACATCCAAATATGATTGGATTAGCACAATATAGATTTGATCTTATTTGATTGTTAAACATTATATATTTCTTTGATCATGTTGATTTTGATTATTACCTTGAAGAATTCCAGACAAGTCTGCTGGACGAAACGTTGGAATTATTTAAATTTCAATCGCTGAGACTATTTCAAATATAATTCTTCACAAATAACATTTTCTAAATAGCTTACAGCAAACTTATGAGTTATTATCTTTCTTCCTAAATACTAACATTTCGTTTACAATCACCTCATTCCCATAATGTATCCTGATCGACAACAAATAGTAATCATTCAAAAACTCAAAATGTCATTAGTACATGAATTGTGTATGAATAAATTTACGTTAGTTATAAATACACTTCATTGTATTTGGCTGACAATCGATAAGGATTCTCTTGTATAATTTGAATTGCGTTTCCGTTAATTGATTGTATGACATGTGGATAAACAATGATCAAACTATACTCTGATTATGTAACGACAAGTCGAATCTGTTTTATAGAAATTACTGTAATCCTATTGATAACCAAGATTTAATGTGGTTTTCATCTTTAGTATGTCATTTAGTTTTTATGTGGTTATTAATTTCGTTTTGCAATTTTTATTGTGTAAATAAGCTAAACTTTCAGAAATATCGATCCCTGTACCAATCAGTGTATCTGAACAGATACTCTCGTAGTTAGGTACTCTATAATAAGGTGAGTGAATTACGCTGATAAACAACATTTTAAAAGTAAAGGTTAAATTTCGTAAAATGTAGTGAATTCGTATTTTAGAATATGTATTTTTTTTAATAAAGTAATTCCTAGGAAGATTTTGTTTAAAAGAGAGCTGTGAATACTACTATTTATTTCATTTTTTGTGTGAATTCAGAGCGAGTAATGATGGAGATATTTTTACGACTACTAATAGGAATTTATTCATTTCAAGTGACAAATTATTTGAATAAGCTTTTGAAACTGATAGAATTTGATGTTGGACAAATACATTGTATATCTGTTCACAAAAACATCAGACACTGTTAGAAGAATAACCTCAGTTAAATATACTTGAAAAGAATCGAAATCATAAAATTAAATCGATTTACTATAAGTTTCTGTACATCTCACTCTCCATCATTGGTTGATAATTATTGCATGGTTATTGTAATTCCTGACCTCCAGTAATGAAGACTTTTTGGGTGAAATTGAGAAAAACTAGAGATAAGTGTGTAGTTACCTACTTTTATGAAGAGAACGCGATTGGTGTAATGGAAACATTTATTATTATAACCAACTATACCAGTGATTATCTTACTGAACCTGTTTGTTTAATTGTGCCGGGACATATACTTTTCCATTGTTTGTGACCTTGAGCACACTCACGTACGTGGAGTAGTCTCGCTTGTAAATTTTGGCACGATCTGGGTATTATTTTGATACCACGAGATTGCCAACAAATACATCCTAACTACAATCTACAACTGCCTTCTAATATTTGTCCTACATAGGGTTTAACCAGATAATTGGCACGTAATCGGTCTGTAGTAGTGATCATAGTCAACTGCGACTCGACACAATTACAAGTGATTGAACATCTTGTTTTCAAAATATGTGTTCATGTTATAATGAACAAACATTTTGTTGACATTCATGTATAACCAACCTGGTGATCGCAATGAACAGATGAAAAGACATCCTTGATAGCTAGAGGAAGGTTGACACCAAATTTCATGACTTCCCGAAAGCTCTTGATAGAGTCAGTCACAGATGTCTTATCAACAAGCTCGAACTACTAAGTATCAGATTATCTTTAATTGATTGGCTCACGGCATATCTAAGTAACTGACATTTTAAGGTCAGGGTTACCTTTTCTTTCTCTTAGGCTATGGAATGTCCTATTGAAATCCCTCAGGGTTCAATATTAGGACCTTTTCTCTTCTCCCTTTATATAAACGATCTTCCACATCAGGTGTCGTTAAATTTTCTGCTTTTCACTGATGTGAAACTCTGAAGAGAAGTCTGCAACTAAGAGAATAAACTGGCACTTCAGGAAGATCTGATTCGATTTCAAAATTGAGAAGCCGACAAGGAGCTTACCAGTAACAGTTCAAAGTGTAATGTAGTCCATCCGAGACATGTTCCAGACTATGAATACGACTTAGGTAACTACTT